ATTTGCCAAATAAAATCATCATTTTCAGCCATCCTGTACATCCTCAATGGCACTTGGCCACAAATTCGCCAAATTAAAATTTGCCAATCACCAAAGTTTAGCAATTCACCAAATTTAACTACCTCCAAAATTTCCCACTATACAGTACCTATTCAGTAGTTTAAATGTACATGTACATGTATGTAGTAAATCAAGTGAGAAATCATTTACATTACAAATGGTAAATCAAGCAATACATTGTTAATCATTAACCAACTGCCATTGCTGGAATTAGTAGAGCTTAACCTCCAACACTTGTAGCCTTGGGTATTTTTCAAAATTTGGCCCGTTTTTTTAAATGGCCATAACTTGAAAAGTTGAGCTCAGAATTGACTCAAAAAGGCTAAGAATAGTACCAAGAGTAGATACATGTGTATTATAGTACTCTTGATAGTACACAGTAAAGGAATGGACTTATTATCTACTCATGTATTAGTTTAATTTATGTACTTGTATGTAGTGAGGCACTGAGACAACATTCCAGTTTAATACTATCAGAGGATTCAATGAATGCTATATTTTATGAAGAGAGCAGCAGCGAAGAGGAGGAGGAGGAGGAGAGAGAGGGAGCACCTCCTAGTGACACTCCAGCTGCTGTCACTGAAGAAGAATCATGGGACTAGAACATAATATATTATATAACCATATTGTATGTGTATTTTATTTTAATAAACTGTACATAATAATAACAATAATAATAATAGATAGATAGAAGCAAGAATAATGTAAATATTACATATTCTTGGTAAGGGGTTACATGGTTAACAGTATATCTGTTGAAAAATAATGATACAAAATAGGGAGAGAGAAAAGTGATGAAATAAATTAAAATGAATTATTATTATTAATTATTAGTGAGAGGGAGGGGAGGAGAAAGAGGCGTGGTCAATTTGATTTGTGCACTGATGCTGAGGTGTAATTACTAGTCAGTTTAGATATCGGAGGAGAAGGGGTCTTGTCTTTCTTGGGCGGTCCGGAGCTGGCTAAAGTTTTATGTCGTCTGGGGGGTCGGTGAATGGACTCTTCATCATGAACATGTATCTCTTTAAAGCGTGACCTGGAGAGAAAAGAAATTCACATTTATTACTTGTACAGGATATTTTGTCAAAAATGGGAAGGAGAGAATTCTCCATTTTTATATTTTATTCTGATGTATATACATGTTCTTATGTTGTGTAGAAAGTTTGAGCTGATTCTGATCAAAATTAGATTTTATATGAATTTTTCAAGTTGTTCCAAAATCGGGCCAAAGTCCCTGACTATAGTACAGTGTCTTGGGCCAAATTTCGCCAAAATTGAAAAGTAGAGAATTCTTCATTTTTATAATTTTTCTTAATGCATATACATGTTCTTATGTTGTGTAGAGAGTTTGAGCTGATTCCAATCAAAATTGGATTTATTATGAATTTTTAAATTTGCTCAAAAATCGGGGCAAAAGCAGATTTAATCAATTCACACATAATACTAGCCATTATGCATTAGTCATTTATAAGGCTGTTACATGTACAGTGTACTTAGACATTTATAGTAAAAGGATGACAGGCAGCACATGCTGAACATGTGTCATCATGTGATCATTAATTCCTAGCTCTTACCTATCAAGGTCATGACCAGCAAGAGTAACACCACCAGAATGTCTATCAACATAAAGCTTAAGATTACTCTGACCTTCATCTGTAGGGGAGAGACAGAGGGGGAAGGAGAGAGATTGAGATTTGAGCAAATTTTTATAATGTCTACTTACCATCAGAGGCTGGTGTCAGATCATGATTCGCTATGAGTTGATTCACGAGTGATTCAGTATCAACTCTTGATTGCTCTAACATTGATAACACTGAGATCTGACAATAAAAATAATTCAAATAAAATTATTAAAAAATAACAATACTTGTACCTTAGTTTTATTACTGCTCAGTGATGCAGCATCTTGTAGATATTCCCGTTGAGATAACACACTAAAATAATAAAAAAATTAATTAATAAAAAAATTAATTAATTAGTTAAGCCCCACCCACCTGACGCTACTGTGCCTCTTATGGTTCCCCATTATAAGAGGAGAGGGTGTCTGTGGGTTGGATCCTCCTCCTCCCATACTAGCCTGCCGTCGGTGAGATCCAGAGCTGAAACTAGCCGTAATACGAGAACCCTGGACGCTGGGACCTAACTTAGGCCGTCTCATTGGAGGTGGGAGGAGCCCCAGCGGTGACCCCTCCCTCTCTTGCTTCCGGAGTCCTGGTGAGTGGCGAAGGTCCCTAAAACTGTTTGTGAGTCTCTCGGACCTTGAGTCTTCCTCGTTAGTGGGCGTGGGCGGGACTAACTCAGTGACCAGAGGAGGTGTGGTCTCATTTGAAGAGGAAAGGCTACTCTCACTCTCGCTCTCTGATTTATTTTTACTCGAATTTGTTTGGAGTGTTCCCACGGTAATCTGTGATGGACATTGTTCAACTACAGTCTCTTCGGAGCCACTCTCGTCCCCTCTACTGACTCCGCCCATTGCCACGCCCACAGTCTCTTCTAGTGCCCCACCCACTGCACCTCTCATTTCACTCTCAGCTCCGCCCTTTTCAAGAAACAGCATCGAAGGTTCTTTTGAAATATCACTCGTACTTGCCTTAAGATTCCCAGCACTGCTACTGTGACTGGACCAGGTAATATTAGTACCTAATTATAATTAATAATAAT